CCCCAAAACCCCAAAACCCCAAAACAAAGATAGAAATTCATTGAAAATTTGACAAAAAATGCTTAAATTAATTTAGAGTTTTTCACTTTTAATAATTAGCAAATTTATTAAGATACTAAAGCAATGGAACAAGTAGAAGGTGATATCTGCCCAAAATGCAATCAAATTTTTAACTAGATAGATCTCCTTAAATTGATTCTACCGTGTGGTGACAGCATGTGCCTAGACTGTCTTTATAAGCAACTTCAAGACGTTTAGAATAAAGTCTATTGCCCGGTCGACAATGAGGAGTTGGAGGTGAGCCAGCGTTACAGAGAAAAAATCATAAACCTGAAACTTTCAAAATAAAAAGAGATTGTACAGCTTAAATGCTCCAAACATCCATTGATTCCTGCTAATTACTACTGCAATAAGGAAAGAGTGATGGGATGCCATGTTTGCGTACATGATTCGCATCTGAAACATATTAAACTAGTGGAGCCATTTGTAAATGATGACATATATCAATTCAACAATAGATGTCTGATCAGACTCTAAGAACAGAAATCAAAATGTTAAGAGGCAATAAATCAGGTTTTGGAATTGAAACTTAAAAAGAAGAATATCTCTTCAGCAACTTTCGTTAAGACTTATTTAGAAGTAGTTGAGTTACTAGAACCTCATATAAGGAAAGACGAGCAATACGAATTAGGTATAGTTTATAAAACTCCTAATTTGTTTGATTTTGATGATGAAACAATGGATGCATTTGATATTAAGAATTAGGATGAAGATATCATAAAGGACTGGATCGGTAATGCTGCAACTATTAAGTTTAAACTTTTATACAGAGCTCACAGAGATGGCTTTAGCAGTTAAGATTTTCATAGAGTTTGCGATGGAAAGGGTCCATTGCTGTTTCTGATTAAAAGTAAAAAGCATAACCAAGTATTTGGAAGTTACACTAGCGAAAAGATGTCAGGAGGTTACTCATACAAGAGAGATGACAAAGCTTTTGTGTTTAGTTTAACTAATAGAACTAAACACCCTCTCTATTAGAATTTCGACAATTCATTGTATTTCAATGCCTCAGAGCATATACATTTTGGAGAAGATTTGATAATAAGGGATAATCCAAATAACAATGTACAGAGCACTTCAAACATCGGCTATGCATACTAGCCTCCCAGAGACATCTTTCATGATTCAGATAAAGCAAAGGAGTATCTAGCAGGAGCGTAAAATTTTAGAGTATAAGAAATGGAAGCATTTGAAGTGATTAAAGTTGAGCAGGAATAGTAATAGGAAAACCAATGAATATGATATTTAATAGCAGTTTAGACATAATCATTATATGCTTAATTTATTAATTAATAACTTTTTATACTTATAAGTATCAAAATGATTCAGAATTTGGGGTTTTGGGGTTTTGGGGTTTTGGGG